AGGAGCTGAGTGGTCTTGGGGGAACCCAAACTGTTAATGCTGGCTCCTCTGCCAATCCAGCACTGGCATGAAGTGTCAGCTTGGACAGATCTAAGAGGCTGCTTGCTGAGCCATGGTCTGTACATACTCTGCATTACTGGTTTACAATTTGTTGCAGTGGGATCTGAACTCAAGGCACACAGGTTCTGAGTCCAGTACTGTGAATCCTACACCTCCGCAAGCAACAAAACAAATGAACTCATCACATCATGCAGAAACCCTCAACCCACCTGCATAACCTCACCCATACCAACTCCAAATCAGTCCCCTTGCCCCACTCCATGGCCAACAGGACTGGCTGTAACGGACCTTTCACACAGGAATAGGCTGTGGCTGGTAACTTACTTGACACGTGACAGCAGGCTCACTCCCTCCAACTCGAGCAGTTCCTGAGAGGCCATGGAGCCACTTTCAATTAAGGTTAGCATTCCTGCACAGACAGAGATGCACTCACTGTATTCACACATTTCAAAATGCCAGCTGTGCCCCCAGAGGGCAGCACAGAACATCCCAAAGGCAGGTCTGCTTTAATAGCAAACTATTGTTACCAATCTCAGCCTTTCACTAAGCACTTCACAAATAGTGAAGATGTTTTGAAAGTGCAGTCACTGTTGAAATGTAGGAAACATGGCAGCTAATTGGGGCACAGCAAGGTCCCACAAATAAATATTTATCCCCCAACGACGGTGAAAACTTGTCTGCTTTCTTTGAATATTGTCGTAGGATCTCAGTTACAGCTAAGGGGGCAGATGGAGTCTATCAAAAGATAGCAATTCTAACTGTGCAACACTCCCTCAGTGCTCCACTAGATTCATGCTCACGTTTCTGGAGTGGGACTTCAGTCAACAAGCCTCCAATTCAGAGGAGGCACCAATATTTGAGGAGCAGAAAGTGTGATAAATGTATATAACATACCAGTATTTATTTTTGGATTTGGATTTCAAAACAGATGCAGATAGATCTTAATCAATCCTAAGAAGGTTTTCTTTTAATATCAAAAACTCCAGTGACCTAGATGCATGAGTTCAAAGAAAGCATGTGACTACAGTGGAGTGCCTTGCAGAACTCCTGTGATGTTAATGAATCGAATATTTAGACTGTTGAGTTTATGGCAGAGTAAACACATTGAGGCAATTAGTTTAGTTTTGACTTCAAAACAAAAAGTTCGAAGTTAGTTGAGCAGAATCAGGAGTTGAGTTCAGAAGACAAAACAGTTTCTCGTGGAAGAGAAGCCAGTTAGTTCGGGGGAAACAGATACCTCAGCAAAAATGGTTTCTCGTCTATACGGAGCTTCTAAGCCAGGAGAGTTTGGATAGAAAGCTTCAAGTTTTAGAACTGAGAAAATTTAATCTCCAGAATTCTGAGAGATTCATGCCAACAGACTCAGAGGCAGAAAACAAAATGTTTTCAACAGATCAAGTGAAAGAAACAGGCAAGTGCGAACTAGCAATGATTTACAAAGCTGAGACAGCAGTGATATTTTCTACAATTTAATCTCTGTAACAGATGATATTGGGAAACTTTACTTTTATACTTGTGTGAAGATCTTTCTAACTGCCTTCTACATATCTTTTCGCATAATAAACTGAAGTTCTGCTGTTAAAGAACATCTGCAGTCTCATGTGAATATGTTGCAACCAACCACCACAATTGCAAAAATTAAATATTCGATCTGTTAAGCCAGGTTTCAGTTTAGGATCTGACTTGTTCAGTATTACCATCAGCTGGGATTAAAGACAGCGGGAGAAATGATAAAAAGTTCACCATTTTGTTTGCTGTAACTCAAGATTCTCAAACTCTCTTATAGAGTCATAGAGATGTACAGCACGGAAACAGACCCTTCAACTCATCCATGTTGACCAGATATCCTAAATTCATCCAGTCCCATTTTCCAGAATTTGGCCCATATCCCTCTAAACCCTTCCTATTCATGTATTCATCCAGATGATTTTTAAATGTTGTAACAGTACCAGCCTGCACCACTTACTCAAGCAGCTCATTCCATACACACACCACCATCTGCATGAAAAAGTTGCCCTTAGATCCCTTTTAAATCTCACCTTAAACCTATGCCCTCTAGTTTTGGACTTGCCTAAGCTACGAAAAACACCTTGGCTTTTCATCCTATCCATGCCCCTCATGATTTTATAAACATCTATAAGATCACCCCTTAGCCTCCGACGCTCCAGGAAAAATAGCCCCAGCCTATTGAGCCTCTCCCTATGGCTCAAATTCTCCAACACTGGCAACATCCTTGTAAATCTGTTCTGAACGTTTTCAAGTTTAACAACATATTTTCTATAACAGGGAAACCAGAATTGAACACAACATTCCAAAAGTGGCCTAACCAATATCCTGTACAGCCGCAACATGACCTCCCAACTGCAATACTCGATGTATTGACCAATAAAGGCAAGAGTACCAAATGCCTTCTTCGCTACCCTGTCTACATGTGACTCTACCTTCAAGGAACTATGAATCTGCACTCCAAGGTCTCTGTTTTGCAACACTCCCCAGGACCCTACCATTCAGTGTATCAGTCCTGCTCTGATTTGCCTTTCCAACATACTACACCTTACATTTATCTAAATTAAGCCTCATCTGCCATTCCTCAAGTTATTGGCCCAGCTGATCAAGGTCCCATTGTCCTCTGAGATAACTTGTTCACTGTCCACAGTATGACCAATTTTGGTGCCATCTGTAAACTTACTAACCTCCTATATTACATATATAATAAATATCCTCCTAAATTCACATCTGAATCATTTATGTAAATGACAAAAAGCAGTGGATCCAGCACTGATCCTTGCAGCACACTGCTCGTCCCAACCTATAGAGGCTGGTGTGTAATAGAAACTATAGGGCAAGTTGCATGCAGAGACACAACAATGCGTGTGTAAATAGTTAGTCAAATTAAGAGGTAGGGGGGTAAATCAGAGATATAGGGCACCAAATCTTCAGCACAAATTCCAGTGTTGAATTGTAAAAGTGTGAGGTGACTGTCTGTGGTTCCCAAGGACTCAATCAACATTTTTTTCCCCTTTTAATCTTTCACGGGCTGTGCGCATTGCACCCATCCCTAATTGCCCTTGATCTAAGTGGTTTGAGGCCTTTTGAAGAGGACAGTTAAGATTCACCATGTGGCTGTGTGTCTGAAGCGACATACAGGCCAGACCAGATAAGGACAACAGATTTCCTTGCCTAGAGGACATTAGTAAACGAGATGAGCTTTTACAAAAATAAACAATAGTTTTATAGTCACTACTACTAAGACTAGCTTTCAATCCCAGATTTATTAATTGAGTTTAAATTCAATGGACTTGGGATTTGAACTCATGTCCCTACAGCGGTGGCCTGATCTTATACTTCTAATCCAGTGGCATTACCACTACACCACCATCTGTAAAAGGCTCCTTACCATCTCCGTGGTTGATGTGGTCCAGGTCAATATCCTCAGCGTGTGTGATCCAATCCAGGTAACCTTTCAGATCCTCATCCAGCTGCTGCTTCTCTCTGAACTTCTGGAAATCTCCCCGAGACTTGGCCTTCTCTCTCTCCCTGGAAAACTCCCTGGATGGCAGACGGAAAGTCCCAGGTGTTACCTCCAGAGAGACACATGATTTTTCTGCAAAACACCCAATTTATGGCATTGCTGACATCTTGGGCGCTCTAGAGATCTGAGCCTATTACCTAGGCTGACCTTCCCACTGCCATGTTGTAGGAGGGCTCTGCCCTCAGATGTCATATTTTGGGTAACACCCTTGTCTGAATCTATAAAAATAGTAAAGTCAAAAATAATCGCTTGTACAAAAAAAATGTCATTTTCTATCAGATTTCACCATTTAATGGATCTTCGCTCTATCATCAGGTCAGAAGTGGGGGTATTCACACAATGTTCAGCACCATCCACATCTCCTCAGATACTGAAGCAGTCCATGTTCAAATGCAGGAAGCCCTGGACAATATCCAGGCTTGGGCTGACAACTGGCAAATAACATTCATGCCAGGCAATGACCATCTCCAATAAGAGATCATCTAATCACCATACCTTAACAATCAATGAATTGCTGAATCACCCACTATCAACATCCTGGGGTTTTACCATTGACCAGAACTCAACTACACTCACCACATGAACACAGTGGCTACAACAGCAGGTCAGAGGCTTGGAATACTGTAACGAGGAATATCCTGACTCCCCAAATCCTGTCCATCATCTACAGGGCACAAGTCAGGAGTGTGATGGAATATTCCCCACTTGCCTGGATGGGTGCAGCTCCAATAACATTTAGGAAGTTTGACATCATCCAGGACAAAGAAACTGTTCTGAGGAAGGGTCACTCGAACCAAAACATTAACTCTGATTTCTCTCCACAAATGCTGCCAGACCTGCTGAGCTTTTCCAGCTATTTGTTTTTGTTTCTGATCTACAGTTCTTTTGGTTTTTACGGAAAAAAGCCTGCTTGACTGGCACCACATCCACAAGCATCCACTCCCTCCACCACCAACTGGATGCACGACAGAAATTCACCAAAACCCTTAGGCAGCACCTTCCACACCCATGACCATTCCATCTAGAAGGTCAAGGGCAACAGATACGTGGGAACACCTCCAACTGCAAGTCCCTTTCAAGCCACTCACCATCCTGAATTGGAAATATATCACTGTTCCTTCACTCTTGCTGGGTAAAAATACTGAAACTCTCTCCCTAAGGGCATTGTGGGTCAACCCATAGCAGGTGGACCAAAGGAGTTCAAGAGCGCAGCTCACCACTACCTTCTCAAGGACATCTAGAGGTGGGCAATAAATGCTGGCCCAACCAGCAACGCCCACGTGCCTTAGTGAATTAAAAAAAATGGAATTGCTCTCAATTCCCTCACTGCTCGAATCCATACATTAAACTCAAAGTACCCTGTGACTGTCTCTCTTGCCAAGTGAACATGGTTGTGCCATTGAGCAGTGCCTGAACAGGTTTAAATATTCTCTAAAGAACGCTGAAGTAAAAGAGCTTGGTGTCAAGAGGAGGTCAGGCTCCCCACCACTTCCAATGCATGAACTGGCTGGATGAAAAATACACCAACAACCAGGTAAACCCAGGAACAGGCAGAGGCCAATCCATGTGATCATGACTGACCTTCTGGCTATCTCCTCAAAACTCACCTTTCCCATGCAACCTTTAATAATTCTGGCCAACAAAATCCAGCAACTTCAGTATGAAAATTAACAATTGATCTGGTTTCAACTGGCACTTATAGCAGGGAGGTGGAGCTGAGCAGGAAGGGGAACAGAAGAGGTGGAAGGGAAGGGGGGAGAGGGAGAGAGGAGGGAGGGGAGGAGGATTGGGAAAGAGAGAAAGATCTGAAAAGGAAAGGGGACAGGCAGAGAAGAGAGGGAGGGGCAGTAAATGAGGGGGAGGGTGGTGAGGTGGGAGAAGGACATGAATGGGAATGAGGAGGAGGAGGAGGGGGAAATTGGTGAGTGACAGAGACAGAGAGGAAGACTGGGAAAGGAGCTGTACTGACTGTAGTTACTGCCTTTCTGTGGCACACCAACTCTTGGTGACCAGGTCCTCCTAATCCTGGGTCCTAAACCCAATTGAGAGGCCATGAAGAACCAATCGGCTGCCTGACTGCCAGGAGATCTGACAGGCATCACATCGGGACAGACAGAGATAACAAGGTGTAGAGCTGGATGAACACAGCAGTCCAAGCAGCATCAGAGGAGCAGGAAGGCTGACGTTTCGGGCCTAGACCCTTCTTCAGAAATGGGGGAGGGGAAGGGGATTCTGAAATAAATAGGGAGAGAGGGGGAGGCGGATAGAAGATGGATAGAGGAGAAGATAGGTGGAGAGGAGACAGACAGGTCAAAGAGGCGGGGATGGAGCCAGTAAAGGTGAGTGTAGGTGGGGAGTTAGGGAGGAGATAGGTCGGTCCAGGGAGGACGGACAGGTCAAGGAAGCGGGATGAGGTTAGTAGGTAGGAGATGGGGGTGGGGCTTGAGGTGGGAGGAGGGGATAGGTGGGAGGAATGGTTAGGGAGGCGGGGACAAGCTGGACTGGTTTTGGGATGCGGTAGGGGGAGGGGAGATTTTGAAGCTTGTGATGTCCACATTGATACCATTGGGCTGCAGGGTTCCCAAGCGGAATATGAGGTGCTGTTCCTGCAACCTTCGGGTGGCATCGTTGTGGCACTGTGGGACAGACGGTTGGTTTCCCTCCCCCAGTCTCTTTCACAATTCAACTTGGAAAGGGGAAGGTATCATCTACAGTTCTCATATGATGTCACTCTGTACCTCCTCAATTCCAGAAACTGAGCCCTAATTTGTGTGATCTCTCTTTATCATTCAACCTTTGACGTCCAGTTATTATTCTAGTCAGTCAATGCTGCAGTCTTTCCATGTCCTTCCTAGAGTATGATACCCAGAACCACGGTGACGCCAAACGTGGTCCAGTCATGGTTTTTTATCTCGGTTGCATGACTTCTACCATCCTGTATTCATTGGCCTTTCTGATTATCGTCTGTACCCATTATTGAATATTAAACGATCTCTGTCCCTGGACCACAGTAACAAACTCCACTGTTTCAAACATTTAACTATTTGGAAAGCTATGTTATGTATCTTTTTGAGGTCTAAATAAATTATAAACAAACACACCCCACAGAGACCTGTTTTCCAGTGGTAGGCTCTGGATGGGCTCCTTGGCATGTCCAGCATTCATTGGTCATCCATTGTTACTTCAAATTAGTGGTTTGACACATCTGAGTGGTCACTGCAGATGGTAATGAATTAAAACCCTTTCTCTTACTTGTTATGTGGCCATTGCTGATGAGCCCAGAACTTGTGAGCCCAGATAGCTCAGTCGGTTGAGCATCAGACTTTTAATCTGAGGGTCCAGGGTTCAAGTCCCTGTGCGAGTGTAGCTTTAAGCCAAAATAGCTCAGTTGGGAGAGCATTAGAATGAAGACATGAAGGTCCCAGGTACAATCCTGGATTTCAGCAAAATGAGTGTTTCCTGACCATGTCAGCCTTTACTTAAGGGCAGCATGGTGGCTCAGTGGTTAGCACTGCTGCCTTAGGGACCTGGGTTCAATTCCACCCTCGGGCGACTGTCTGTGTGGAGTCTGCACATTCTCCCGTGTCTGCATGGGTTTCCTCCCACAGTCCAAAGATGTCCAGGTTAGATGGATTGGCCATGCTAAATTGCCCATAGTGTCCAGCGATGTGCAGGCTAGGTGGAGTAACCATGGGAAGTGCAGGGTTGCAGGGTTGCAGGGTTACAGGGGTAGGGAAGTGGGTCTGTGATATTCTTTGGAAGGTTGATGTGGATTCAATGGGCTGAATGGCCTGCTTCCACATTGTAGGGATTCTAGGCTTGTTGACCATCCCTAACTACTCTTGAACTTAGTAGCTTGTTTGGCCATTTCAGAGGGCAGTTAGGAGGCAACCTCATTGCTGTGAGTGTGGAGTCACATGTGAGTCAGAGAAAATAATGACAGCAGGTATTAAAGGGTGAGGAGAATGAGGTTAGAGTGGGACTCATTAAAGGATGAGGAGAGAGGAGTTAGAGAGAGAGGATACTGAAGGGTGAGGAGAGTGTAGAGAGTGAAGTTATAGTAGAGGAATAGTCAAGGATGAGGAGAATGTGCAGGGTGAGGTTAGAGTAGGGAATAATAAAGGGTGAGGAGAGTGTGCAGAGTGAGGAGGGGGGAATATTAAAGGGTGAGGAGAGAGAGATTATTGGGAGGATATTAAAGGATGAGGAGAGTTAGGTTAAAGTGGGTATTTCGAATGAAAAACACAACAACAATGATTTGTGGGGTGAAATGCATTGTTTTAGCACTGGAACATTGTGACTCACCCACTCAGGACGCCCAGTACAAGGTTCAGCACGAAGAATGAGCCCAAGAGGATGAGACTGACAAAGTAGATCCAAGGCCACTCATTTCCAATGGCATCATTGACCTGCAGGACAGATACACATGCTAACAATAGGAAAGGCCAATGGCACGTGGAGGAGATGGCAGCATTGACAAGATAGTGTCTGTTAGGCAGTAATTAGCCAGGCTTTGGGCCAGTAGCTGGCTGATGTTTGGGCTAGTGTACAAGTCATTAATCAGTGGTTAGCCTGTTGAACCTTTATTAAATGGTGGGTATAATTTTGAACTAGTAGTTAATCTACAGTTAGCTTGGTGAACCTGTAGTTAACTGGTTGATGTATTTGCAAACTGGTAGTTAATCAGTGCTTAACCTGGTAAACCAGTAGTCAGACGGTGGGTGGATTGGTGAACCAGTGGTTAATCGGTGGTGAACCTGTAGATAGCTGGTGACCAGGTTGTGAACCAGTAGTTATTTGATGCTTAGTCTGATGAACCATAGTTAACAGGTGGGTGAGTTGGTGAACTGGTTATTAATCGGTGATTAATCCGATGAACCCAAAGTTAGACAGTGTATGGGTTGGTGAACTGGTAGTTAATTGGTGGTTGGGCTGCTGAATGCCTAGTTATCCAGTCATTGAGTTGGAAATCCTGTAGTTAGCAGCTACAGATGGGAGGAAAACAAGGACAATCGAGAGAGTCAACCCAGGGATTTAAACAAAAGCAGCAGCAGGATAAGTTGAACCTTACTGAAAGAAAAATCTCACAAAATGAGATCGCAACGATAGGAAGGGCAGAGGGCTAAGTTTACAGCTAAATATTTAACATAACTTACCAATTTAAACAAGATCAAACACTAAATAAAAACTGAAAGAACTGCGGATGCTGTAAATCAGGAACAAAAACAGAAGTCGCTGGAAAAGCTCAGCAGGTCTGGCAGCGTCTGTGAAGAAAATGTCAGAGTTAATGTTTTGGGTGCAGTGACCCTTCCTCAGAACAGTTCTGAGGAAAGCTCACCGGACCCAAAACGTTAACTCTGATTTTTTTCTTCACAGATGCTGCCAGACCTGCTGAGCTTTTCCAGCAACTTCTGTTTTTGTATAAGATCAAATGCTTCCTTAATTGTGTAGAAAAATGTAATGGTGATAAATTCACACTCAAAATAATTAACTAAATCATGAGAGGTACAGATAAGGTGAACAGCAAAGGTATTTTCCCTAAGGTAGGGGAGTTCAAAACTAGGGGAAATATTCTTAAGATGAGAGGAGAAAGATTTATAAAGGACACAAGGGGCAACTTTTTTTTACAGATAGTAGTGGAAAAGTGTGGAATGAACTGCCTGAGGAAGTGGTGATGCAGGTACAGTTATAATATTTAAAAGCCATTTGGATAAGTATATGAATAGGAAAGGTTTGGAGGGATGTGGGTCCAACGCAGGCAGTTGGGTCTAGTTTAGTTTGTTGACGTGGACTAGTTGGACCAAAGGGTCTGTTTCCAAATTGATTCTACAACCATACCAAAATTAGATTGGGATGACATTCCTGTGATATAATTGTAACAAGAGAGAATTTGCAGAAGGCCATGTGACCCTGGACTATCCACATTAATTATCGTACTAAATCTACATCTGGTGGAAGTCAGAATTGTTGGAATGGTGTCAGAGACGTGGAGATTAATGAGAATCAGGAACAAATCAGGAATCAGGACACTGTGTTCCAGCAGAAAGTCACATTGTTCAGGGTCAGGTTGAGGTGCAAGTGTGGTTATTGTTCACAGATATGGGGCGGTGCGTCAGTCAAACAGACAAGAGGCTCCAAATGAAAAATGTTTAAATAGCGTTCAGAAATAAACCTTAAAGAGATGTTTCGGAAAGATCATCCAGTGAAAATATATGGGTAGAAATTAGAAATAAGAAAGATCACTTTGATGGGATTGTACTATAGGCCCCCCAATAGTCAGAGGGAAAATGAGAAACAAATATGTAGGGAGATCTCAGATATATGTAAGCATTATAAGGTTGTAATAATGGGGGATTTTAATTTTCCAAACACTGACTGGGGATACCATAGTGTTAAAGGTTTGGATGGTGAAGAATTTGTCAAATGTGTTCAAGAAAATGTTCTTTATCAATATGTGGATGCTCCTACTAGAGAAGGAGCAAAACTAGACCTTCTTTTTGGCAATAAGGCAGGGCAGGTGACTGAAGTAAAAGTGGGGGAACACTTTGGGTCTAGCGATCATAATTCTATTAGTTTCAAAATGGTAATGGAAAAGGATAAGCCTTCCTTAAAAGTTAAAGTTCTTAATTGAAGTAAGGCAAATTTTAATGGTATGAGACAAGAACTTTCAAAAGTTGATTGGAGACGACTGTTCACAAGGAAAAGGACGTCTGACATGTGGGAGTCATTCAAGAGTGTGATGACAAGAGTTCAGCGGTATTGTGTTCCTGTTAGAGTGAAGGGTAAGGGTGGTAAGATTAAGGAACAATGAATGAATGAAGGTATTGAGGTTCAAGTCAAGAATAAAAGAGAATATTATTTTAGATATAGACAACTTGGTTCAATTGACTCTCTTAATCAATATAAAGAGTGTAGGGGCATTCTTAAGAAAGAAATCAGGAAAGCAAAGAGGTGATTTGAGATAACATTGGCAGATAACATTAAAGATAATCCAAAGAGTTACTACAAATACATTAACAGCAAGAGGGTAATTAGAAAGAGGGTAAGGCCTCTTAAAGATCAAGAAGGTCATTTTTGTTTGAACCCCAGGAGATGGGAGAGACACTAAATGAATATTTCACGTAAGTTTTTACTGTGGAGAAAGAAATGGATTCAAGTGAATGCAGAGAAATAAACTTTGATGTTTTAAAAACAGTTCACATTTCAGAAGAGGAAGTTCGGGAGGTCTTAAGAGAATATAAAGGTGGATAAATCTCCGGGACCTGATCTAATGTAACCCAGAACGTTGTGGGAAGTAAGGGAGGAAATTGAGAGACTCCTTGCAAAAATATTTACATCACCTATAACAACAGGTGAGGTGCCTGATGACTGGAGGGTGGCTAATGTTGTGTCTTTGTTTAAGAAAGGTTGTAAGGAGAAACTGGGGAATTATAGATCTGTTAGTCTGACTTCGGTTGTGGGTAAATTGTTGGAGGTGATTATAAAAGAAAGCATTTATGGACATTTAGAGAGGCAAAAGTTGATTGGGTATAGTCAGCATGGTTTTGTGCAAGAAAAATTGTGTCTCACAAACTTGACGGAGTTTTTTGAAGAAATTACCAAAAAGATTGATGATGGCAGAGCAGTAGATATTGTTTGCTTGGATTTGAGTGAAGCCTTTGACAAGGTTCCACATGGTAGACTAATTAGTAAAGTGAGGTCACATGGGTTTCAGGGTGAGCTTACCAATTGGAAACGTAATTGACAGAGAGTAATGGCAGAGAGTTGCTTTTCGGACTGGAGGCCTGTGACCAGCAGTGCTCCACAAGGATCGGTTTTGGGTCCACTTTTGTTTGTCATTCATATAAATGATTTGGATGAGAATATAGAAGGCATGGTTAGTAAGTTTGCGGACGACACCAAAATTGGTGGCATGGTAGACAGTGAAGAAGATTTTCTAAGATTACAGAGGGATGTTGATCAAATGGGTCAATGGGCTAAAAATGGCAGATGAAGTTCAATCTGGATAAATGCAAGGTATTGCATTTTGGTACAACAAACAAGGGTAGGGCTTCTACAATTAATGGTAGGGCCTTGGGTAGTGTTGTAACAAGAGGGACCTTGGGATGGAGGTACATCATTCTTTGAAGTTTGTATCACGTACAGACAGGGTGGTTAAAAAGGCATTTAGCACATTTGCCTTCATTGCTCAGTCCTTTGACTGTAGCAGTTGGGACGTCAGGTTGAGGTTTTACAGGACATTGGTGAGGCCTCCTTTAAAAGACTGTGTCCAGCTCTGGTCGTCCAGTTATAGGAAGGATATTAAGCTGCAGAGGGTTCAGAAGAGATTCACAAGAATGTTGCCAGGTATGGAAGGTTTGAATTATAAAGAAAGGCTGGATAGGCTGGGAATATTTTCACTGGAATGTAGGGGGTTCACAGGCGACCTGATAGAAGTTTATAAAATAATGAGGGGTATAGATAGGGCTTACGGTAAGTGTCTTTTCCCCTAGGATGGGGGATTTCAAGCTTAGAAGGCATATTTTTTAAAGTGAGAGGAGAAAGATTTATAAAACACATGAAGGGCAAAATATTTTACACTGAGGGTGGAATGAACATCCTGAGGATGTGAGTGCAATTACAACGTTTAAAAGATATTTGGATAATTACATGAATAGGAAAGGTTTGGAGGGATATGGACCAGGAGCAGGCAGGTGGGAATAGTTTAGATTGGAATTATGTTCGGCATGGACTGGTTGGACCAAAGGGTCTATTTCCATTTTGCATGACTCTATGATTCTAAATGATTGTTGCTCAGGATAATCAGGGATGAAGTGGTGGTTTAGGGTGATCAGAGCATGACGTGTGCGTCAGGGTGATTGGGAGTGAGTGCGAAGGTCGCGGAATGAGTGTGAGGGTCGCGGAGTGAGTGCAAGGGTCGCGGAGTGAGTGAGAGGGTCACGGAGAGAGTGAGAGGGTCACGGAGAGAGTGAGAGGGTCACGGAGAGAGTGAGAGGGTCACGGAGTGAGTGCGAAGGTCCCGGAGAGAGTGCGAGGGTCACGGAGAGAGTGCGAGGGTCACGGAGAGAGTGCGAGGGTCACGGAGTGAGTGTGTGTGGGCCAAGGCGAGATGAAGTGAGTTGCGAGGCTGTTAAATGGGAGATTGTTATTGAGCTCCAGTTGCAACATTAACGAATTGTGTGGAATGTTGGAATATCACACACTGTCCATCTGCTGCCGATGTTCCTTACCCAGTACAGGACATTGGTCCAGCCCTCCATGGTGATACACTGGTAAACCGTTAACATGGCGAATCCAAAGTTATCGAAGTGAGTGATGCCGGTGTTGGGTCCTGGCCAGCCTGACCTGCACTCAGTGCCATTGATGGTGCATTGACGGCCATGTCCCGAATGCGCACATGGGGCCGGCCACACATCAGCAACAATATCTGTGTCAATGAGCAGAGGGGCAGAAAGGTGTAAGATAGGGGGGACAGTGGGAGGGGAGGGAGGGAGAGAGAGGGAGGGTGAGCGGTAGAGGTAGGGTAAGAGTGAAAGGAGGAGGAGGGAGAGAGTGAGCAGGGGGAATGGGAGCGTAATGGGGAGGGGAAGAGTGCAGGTGCGAGGGAGGGGTGGAGGGAGAGAGAGGAGCACAGAGAAAACGAGAAAGATGTGGAGAGTGAGGAAGAAGAATAAGGGTGAGGGGGGAGGGGGAGGAGAAGAGGAGGGTAGGGATGAGCGAGAGGGGAGGGGGAGAGAGAGGGGGGAGGGGTGGTGAGAGAGCGGGGAGGAGGTGAGAGCGCAGGGAGAGGGTGAGAGAGCGGGGAGGGGGAAGAGAGTGTGAGAGGGTGAGTGAGGGGAAGGTGTGCATGGGGGAAGGGGGAGTTGAGAGTGAGGGATAGGGATGGAGAAGTGTAAGCAGGAGAATGAGCGTGATTGTGAGGGGGAGAATAAGGGGAGGAAGTGACTGAGGAGAAGGGATGAGTGAGGAGAGGGTGCGTGTGGAAGTAGGCAGCGTGTGAGTGAGGTCAAAGTGACAGGAGGAGGTACAACATGTTAAAGGAACAAGGGTGAAAGGGCAAAATGCAGAGAGAGCCGGGTAATAGAATTGATGGGAAGACGAGGAGGGAAGGACAGGAAAAGTGTAGGGTGAGTGTACGAAAGCAATTTAAAAATGAGGGAGGCAGATCAAGCAGGAACAGAGACATGACAATGGATTGAAAAATGAAGAAAAAGAGAGGAAAAGGCAAATGGTGGAAGAATGGGGAGTACAGAGATAAGGAGGAATAGAATGGGAGGAAAAGTTACAAATATGTAAGATAGAGGAAGAGGATTTGAGGAAAGTGAAGAACAGGATTGAAGGGAGGGCAAGGAGTACAGAGTTAAAGTGGGAAACGGTAAGAACAGAATAAGAGAATGGGAAGACAACAGCAAGAGACGGTTACAACAGAAACAATGAGAAAATAACATTGATCAAATTTTTGCAGACTTCAATGGCACACAGTCATTGCCCAAATTAACCCTCTGTGTTCTCTCCCTATCAACTGACTCTTCACTCAGAACCCAACTTTACATTTGTGCTCCCAGTGTGTGTGTGTGTGTGTGTGTGTGTACACACGTGTGTAAACTGTCCATGGGTGCGTGCTCACGCTATGTCTACACTATGTGTCCGTGCTCACGCTGTATGTCCACGTTCACTCTGCGTCTACACTGTGTGTCTTCCTTCACGCCGTGTCTACACTGTGGGTTCACGTTATGTCTACATTGTGTGTGTTCACACTGTCTCTACATCGTGTATGCGCATGTGTGTGTCGCACCGTGTCCACACAGTACCTGTGCCAACGTAAAAACATGTTTTGTGCATTTTGCCCATGAACAGCTCCAATCCAATGATGGCGTAGATGATGATCATGAAAAGGACCAGCAGAGCAATGTGAAGCAGAGGGACCATGGCCTTGATGATTGAGTTCAGAACCACCTGCAAACCTGAACACAGAGACAAGTGAGTGCTCTACTTGGCCACGCTCTGTTATTACACCAATGTCACATTTATAAACACATTAGCACACATTTACATATAGGATTCTACATTTGCAAAGCATCTCTCACAACCTCAGGATGTCCAACGCACTTTACAATGAATGAGGTATAGTCACTGTTGTAATGTATGAAACACTGTGTGAAATTGTACACAGCAAGATCCCACACACAGCAATGAAATTTCGACTGAATTCTTTATATCACAGAGTACTTAAGGAAGTGGCTGTAGAAATAGTGGATGCATTGGTGGTCATCTTCCAGGATTCTGTAGACTCTGGAACATTCCCTGTTGATTGGAGGGTGGCTAATGTCACTCCAATATTCAAAAAGAGAGGTAGAGAGAAAACAGGGAGTTATACACCAGTAAGCTTAACATTGGTAGAGGGGAGAATTCTCAAATCCATTATCAAGGATTTTATAGCAGAGCATTTAGAAAGCAATGGCAGGATCAGACAGGGTCAGCATGGATTTATGAAGGGGAAATCATGTTTAACAAATCTGTTCGAACTCTATGAAGATGTAACATGTAGAGTTGACAAGGGGGAGTCATGTGGTATATTTGGACTTTCAGGAGGTGTTTGACAAAGTCCCACATAATAGATTATTCTACAAGATTAAAACGCATGGGATTGGGCAAAGTGTACTGAGATGGATACGAAACTGGTTGGCAGAGAGGAATTAATGGGTCCTCTTCAAATTGGCTGGCATTAATTAGTGGGGTGCCACAGGGATCGATGCTGGGATGCTAGCTATTCACAATATATATAAGTGATTTGGATGAGAGAACAAAACGTAACATCTCCAAGTTTGCAGATGATACCAAGTTGGGTGGGAGGGTGAACTGTGACGAGCATGCAGAGATCCTTCAGCATGATCTGGAAAGGTTGGATGAATGGGCAAATCAATGGCCGATGCAGTATAAATTGGATAAATGTGAGGTTATTCAGTTCGGAAGCAAAAACAAGAAGGCACATTACTACCTGACTGGCTGTATATTGTGAGAGGGGAGTGTGCAGTGGGACCTGGTGTCCTTGTGCACCAGTCACTGAAGGTAAGTGTGCAGGTGCAGCAGGCAGTAAAGAAGGAAAATGGTATGTTGGCCTTCATTGGGAGAGGTTTTGAGTACTGGAGCAGGGATGTGTTGCAGTTGTACAGGACCTTGGTGAGACCACACCTGGAATATTGTGCACAGTTTTGGTATCTTTTTCTGAGGAAGGTCGGTTTTAATAAGATCAGATATGATTTTGTCAGAGTTGACTGGGAGCAGATATTTTTAGGTAAGTCTGGATATCAAAGGATATACTGGTTTAGATAAAGAGAAATAGGAAGCTTTTGGTAAATACCAAGGGCTCAAAACAGCAGAAGATCTAAACGTGTACAGAATGGGCAAAGGGGAACAAAAAAAAGAAAATTAGGAGAGCAAAGAGGACATGAAAGGGTGATGGACAGGTAAAATAAAGGAAAATCCCAAGTAATTTCACATGTACGTTGAGGGTTAAAGGATAACCAAAGAAAAAGGAGGGATAACTAAGGATCACAGTGATAATTTGGGCATGGAGTCAAATGAAGTAGTAGGGTTCAATACTTTGTGCTGGTGTTCACAAGTGAGAGGGACGAAATGGGCATAGAAATGAGGGAGAAGGACTGTGGTACAATCAAAGAAAGTTGCATAGACAGAGAGGAGGTTTGAAAGTAGACAAATCTCCAGGGCTGGATGAAACGTATGTCAGGCTGTTGAGTGAGACAGGAGCACTAGCAATAATTTTCAACTCCTCTCTGCCCACATGAGAGGCGCCAGAGGAATGGGGGACAGCCATTCGAAGTACCATTATTTAAGAAGGGAGCAAGAGATAAACCAGGAAACTACAGGCCAGTCAGACCAAACTTGGTGGTGGGGAAAACTACTGGAAGCAAGTCTGAGGGACAGAACAAACCTGCATTTGAAGAGGCAGGGATTAAGCAAGAACAGACAGCACGGTTCTGTTAAGGGCAAGTCATCAGACCAGATTGATTGAATTTTTCGAAGAGGTGACAAGGTGTGTAGAAGAGGGCAATACATTTGAAGTAATCTAATTGCATTTCAGCAAGACGGTTGATAAGGTCATGCATTGGAGACTGAGAGCGAAGGTAAATGCCTCCATGATGAACGATAGGTCTATGGGAAGTACCTAGGATCAGAGAGACTTGGCCAACATGTACATGTACACCGATCACTGAAGGTAACAGGATAGGTAGATAAAGTATTTAAGAAGCTGGAGGATTGTGGGAATCTGAAACACACTGCCTGCAAGAAGTATTGAGATATACACTTGTGATGCCAAGGCAAACAAGGCTGTAAGCCAAGTGCTGGGAAATGCAATTAAATTAGTTAGGTGGTTATTTTTGACTGGGGCAGTCTCAGTGGGCTGGAAGGCCTTTTTCTGTGATGTAGACCTCAATGACGATGCTCAGTTAGATTTACTTTTAACTGTGGAAGTCAGTTACTGAATGTAGTCACAAGATGATGCCAGTACAATTTCAACCTAAATAATAAAATGTTTATTGAACGAGAAAAAAAATGACACCAAACAAAAAGTCATAGAATCATACAGCATGAAAACAGAACCTTTGGTCCAACTAGTCCATGTCAACCATGTTCCCAAAGTAAACGAGTCTCACCTGCCTGCGTTTGGCCCATATCTCTCCAAACCTTTCCTATTCGCATACTTATCCAAATGTCTTTTAAACACTGTAACAGTACCTGCATCCACCACCTCCTCTGGTATTTCATTCCACACACTAACTACTCTCTGCGTAAAAAAAGTTGCCCCATATGTCCTTTTTAAATCTTTCTTCTCTCACCTTAAAAATATGCTTTTTAGCTTTGAATTCCCCCACCCTAGGGAAAAAACCCTTTGCTATTCACCTTATCTAAACCCATTACCATTTTATAAACCTCTATAAGGTCACCCCCTCAACCTCCTACACTCCACTGGAAAAAGTGCCAGCCTATTTTTTTAACTCAAACCCTCTATCCTCCTGGTAAATCTTTTCTGAAACCTCTTCAGTTTAATAATATCCTTCTTTAACGGGGCAACCAGAACTGCACACAGCACAGACATCAGAAATAGACTCAAATTGATGGTACCATTTTAACACAGCAATATCCTTGCAAACACTTAAACATCAGTCTCCACCCTAAGGCTCCTTGCTCAGGGTCTGCGCATTCACTAGATGCTTTTTTTTCCCTTATTTGGCATCTCTCTGAGACCTCAAAAGCAAACTGCAAACTAAACTCCCTATAACTTTACTTTCAGAGCAATAAGTTCCCAAATACAGTTTATAGCCACATTCTAAAGATCCCGCGCTGGGGACCTCAACACCCCAGCATGCCTTATCTAGCAGAACCACGCAGAGACGGGCTATTGGATTTCTGGAGTGTTCTGTTTCTCTGTAATGTGTCCTGTCACTAGGGCAGAGGTCCGAGGTGAGAAGTATGCCACAAAATTGTCAGGAAACAGCACCACTTCCTGTAGACTTCCAATACTGCTCATGGGTAGAGATTCATCACCGTGCATGTATGGAAGACAGGGAGCATGCTTATTATGCAGGCTTCATTCACATGCGCAGGCCCAAACACTCAGTCTGAGCATGCACATTGATCGAGGATCAAACCTCTAGGAAGAGAAAAAAGTGCACATGGTGCACTAAAAAGCTATGCAATTGTTGAACTAACCTGCCTGCTTGGACATACTTCCAAGTTAGCACAGAACACAAGGTGAATATTTTTGGAACAGTTTTAGTTAAAACACTGATTTAATGTTAGAGTAGATTCTAAGAAGAAATCTGTAAGTTTCTTGTCAAAAGAGGCAATTCCTCTGCTAATTCAGCCGATGAAACATCTGAACCAAAGGGAATAAGCAAGAATTCTTCAGAAGTAGTATAATGACAGCTATCTGGCCTTTGGATTTTCACACCACTTATGTGAATGCCTCATCAGCAGAGAGAGGTTTGTAAACATACAATGGTACCAAGTATGTCAAGATGTCACTTATAGACAAAACATCCACCTCTTGTGAGCAAATACATTCAGTACATCACGTTCAGCCAAGTCTGATGGAGTATGTGCAGGCATTGGATAAAGCTCAAGAAGTCAGCTACCTGGTGGCTGAGCTGGTAGCAAAATCAAAGAAGCCTGACACCATTGCTGAAGAAAAAACCCACTGCCGAAACCTTAATCATGTCTTCAGGTAAATAAATCAAAGGTGTATCAGGACCTGATTCTGCAAAAGAGATCGACTAAACTCCACTCTCTTGATAGTACAGTTAAATGGCTAATTAACATGACAGCTGACCTTTTGCAGATTGACAAATCAAGCAGACACTGCCAGCTGCTGGCCAATGTCGGTATGACGATGGGAACTCCCTTCAGGAGGATTTTTTTCTTCTGTAATGAGCGACCAAGTCCTGCCAATGGTGAAGAAATATTTTGGTAACAGAACCGAATTGAGGGGAAACAAGTTTACTTGAGGCATATTTTGCAGCATTTGCACCGACAGAGCAGCCTCCAGACGTTAAAGTCAAAAAATCTGTCTGTAAGGTGAAAGAGCAAAATCCAGACATGCAGATCACCCAGTGAATCCTCCAATGTGAAGTTCTTGTAGCTAAAACAAAGCCACCAGAGTTAGCTGCAGTATTACAGCAAGCTGAGAAAATCGTGAATGACATAAAATCACAGCCATTGATATCCCATTTGTTCCAAGTTTTGTGTGCAGAGATCGGGGGTGGGGGGGCAGTATCAAATTGTTCTGTTACACACCGAGGTACAATGGAATTCATGTGTTGTTATGACCGTATATAATCAATCTGTTAAAACTACTTTTGTCGGAAATGATAGTGACACTTTGTGTACTTACTGGGAACTCCCGACACCAAGCGCAATGGTCTTAACACTCGGAACGCTCGAAGAGCCTTCACATCAAAGCCTGCACTCTTTGCTGATGGGCTCAGCTGCTCCAATGCCACAGTACAGAGTCTGCAAACGAAGGAGTAAGTGGATTAGTCAGACTGGAACCCAATCTGCAACTCAACACTGAGCTTTCACAAGCATTGAAGCAATAGAGTCTAAGAGGTGGAGCAAACACTCTCTCTCCAACCCCATGTTCACTCCATGTTCTGCTGGTGATCACTCCTTACATCGCCACCTCCAGCTTAATCACTTCAATGTTTCATCACCAATCACTTCCTATTTGCCTTGTAATCACACCCTATTGCCCCTTTAATCAATGTCTATTCCCCCTGTAATCCCTCTCTACTCCCCACAAAATCACTTCCTATTCCCTGTAATCACACTCTGCTCTCCCTGTAATCAAGCTCTGCTCTCCCTACCATAATCACTCCCTGCTCCCCATCTTCCTAATTAATCCCTAATCCCACTGTAATTACTCCCTGCTACCCCCCCAATGTAATCAGTCCCTGTTCGCCCTCCAACTATAATCATTCTCTGCTCCCCACCCCCATAGTTACTTCCTATTCCCCCCCCGTAATCACACTCTACTTTTGCTTATTCACTCGTGGACATGGACATCACTGGCTTGACCAGTATTTATTGCCCATCCCTGTTGCCCTTGAGTAGGCGGTGAGCTGCCTTCTTGAACCACCACAGTCCATGTGCTCTAGGTAGACCTACAATGCCTTTAGGGAAGGGGTTTCGGGTTTTCACCCAGTGACACTGAAGAAATGACAATATATTTCCATGTTAACATGGTGAGTGGATTGAGGGAAATTTGCAGATGGTGCTGTTCCCATGTATCTGCTGTCCTTCTAGATGGAAGTGTTTGTGGGTTTGGAAGGTGTTGCCTGAGCAGCTTTGGTTAATTTTTGCAGTGCATCTTGTAGACGGTATACTCTGCTACTACTGTGCGTTAGTGGTTTGGGGGGGGGGGGGGGGGGGCGGTAGGTGGTGGTGGTGATGGGAGTGGATATTTATGGATATGCCAGTCAAGTGGGCTGCAATGTCCTGAATGGTGTTGAGCTTCTTGAGTGTTGTTGGAGCTACACTCTTCCAGGCAAGTGGAAGTATCCCATCACACTCCTGACTTGTGCTTTGTAGATGATGGGCAGGCTTTGGGTAGTCAGTAGGTGAGTTACTCGCTGCAGTATTCCTCACCTCTGACCTGCTTTTATACCCCCGTTATTTATGTGCTGATGCTTGAAATCTGAAACAAAAACAGCAGCATTTCTGGCAGCATCTGTGGAGAGAAAACAGTTAACATGAATTCTGTTTTCTCTCCACAGATGCTGCTGGAGTTGCTAAGTTTCTCCAGCAATTTCTGTTTTAATTATTTGTATGGCTAGACCAGGTCATTTTCTGGTCAATGTAAGCCCCAGGTTTCAGTGATGACCATGCCATTGAATGTAAAGGGATGGTGATTAGATTTTCTCTTGTTGAAAATGGTCATTGCCTGGTATTTGCGTGCTGTGAATGTTACTTATCATTGTCCACTCTAACCTGAATATTGTCCAGGTTTTGCTGCATTTGGACTGGACCACTTTTGTATCTGAGGATTTGCAAATTGTGCTGAACACTGTGCAATCATCAGCGAACATCCCCACTTCTGACCTTATGATGGAGGGAAGGTCATTAATGAAGCAGCTGAAAACGGTTGGGCCGAGGGACACTGCCCTGAGCGTCTCCTGTAAAGATGTCCAGAGCTGAGATGACTGAGTCCAACAACCACAATCGTCTTCCTATGTGCTTTGTACAACTCCAATCAGTGGACAGTTTTCCCCATTATACCTATTGACTCCAGTTTTGCTTGGGCTCCTGATGCCACACGTTGTTAAATGTAGCCTTAAATGTCCAGAGCTCTCACTCTCACCTCACCTCTAGAATTCAGCTCTTTTGTTTATGTTTGAACCAAGGCTGCAATGAAGACAGGTCCTGTCAGAACGCAAACTGTGTGTCACTGAGCAGGTTATTGCTGAGCAGGTGCTGCTTGATAGCACTGTTGATGACACTTTCCAACACTTGACTGATGATTGCGAGCAGACTGACAAAAGCGGTAATTGGTCAGGTAGATTTTGCCAGCTTTTTGTGTACAGGACACACCTGAGCAATTTTCCACATTTTCTGGTCAGTACCATGTTGTTGCTGAACTGGAACTGCTCAGCTAGGGTGTGGCAAGTTCTGAAGCACAAGTCTTCAGTACTGTTGATGGAATGTTGTCAATATCCAGTGCCTCCAACTGTTTCTTGATATCACACGGAGTGAATCAAATTGGCCAAAGACTGGCATTTGTGATGCTGTGGGCACTTTCGAAATAACCAAGCAGTCTTTATAGATTGAACAGAAACAGCAGCTCTATATCATTATCAGTACACTGGTATAGCTTACAAACAGAGTTGCAAATCTAAGAACACCTGGTACTGTACCCAGAGCAAGACACAGTCCTGCTCTTTTCCAAGGCTGAGAGACTCTTCTTTCTGAATGCTTCTATGGGCTGGATGAAATTAAAATTTCAATTCACCTGCTGGAACTGCAGATAACTATTTCTTAGTTATTATTATTGTGTTCATGACATAAGTTCCATTCAATATTATACTATCTCTTACACAGCTTCAATTCCTTCTTTTTTTGAAAATTTCAAAACTTTAAATTAATTTATTTTCAACAAGCTGTATCCCAACACAGCAACTTGGTATCGATAACAACTTCTGATTTTACGATAATTTTGTTACTTTAAACCTCTTTCCTTAGGAACACAGCTTAGCACATGTTAATCCACCGAAAGACTTCTCAGACCTCAGGGATTGATACATACCTCTCTCTCTCGAGCACCTTTGAACATCAACTCAAAATGAAAGTCAGAGTCTGGAAAGTTTTGCCCTAAGCTCTCTGACTAGTTCCCTAGGAATTCACTTGGAATTGTGGGTACTGTAGCTTTTAAAAGCTAATTTTAAAAGCTAACTCCAAACACACAGACTAACCCATATGTTTAACTTAGAATTTCAAGAATGCAAACTTGCTGTAAATTATACTAAAAACATACACATATATCTCATTTTCAACACATTCCTCTGTAAAGACACCCTGCTGCCCCTTTTGTCACTATCAGCTCCCCCACTAATCACTCCTTTCTGCTCCAATTGCTTCCTGCTACCCCGACATAAACTCACTACTCCCATTGCAATCCTCATAATTATTACCTGCTGCCAGTGTAATCACTCTCCACTGTCTCTGTAATGACTCCTAAAAAACATGTCTTTATATTTAATTTGTGTTTTTTCATTGCAAACTAAAAGCCAAGGATTTCCCCACAGTTTGAAGGCAATTAATTTTATACTCATTGTGAGCACCATTTGTACAGCTGTGGGTTACAGCAGTGTTTGTACAGCTGTGGGTTACAGCAGTGTTTGCAGATGAACTGGAGCTAAAGGGTTGTGCACATAAAGAGCTTCAGTTAGCAACAAAAAGCTGATGGGTTTGTAGACAAGTGACCATTGATGACAAAGGCCTTCTGCCTGCCAACAAGCAATAAGCCTTGATTTTTAACTGATAGGCCAGAGACCTTTTTATAAATGAATTATCCACCCTCTGCCTCATACAAACCAGTGGAAGCATTTGGAGACAGACAATTCAGAACCTGCATTCTGAGCAGCACAAGAATCATTTTAGGAGGCTTTGTGACCATGAAGCACTGAACTGTTTTTCTAATTATTCCCTCTATCCATAACCCATGTCTTTTTTCCCTGTCTGTGTTTGTAGGTCTGTGTATGTAAAGTGGATTAGAGTCTTAATCAGTAGAGTTAATATGCTGATGGTTCATGACTGTTTACCTGTAGCTCAAGTATAATTATTTGTAAAAAAGAAAAATTCTTGTTAAATACAGACGCATGTTCCATGATTTAAAGACAGGTAAGTCTGGGAATCCTCAATTATTACCTTTTAAAATCTTTAACTTTTGTGATGTCTCTGAGTTTGCAGGGTTTGATTTCCAGGTGCAACCCCAGTGAGTCAATGCCAGATTTTGGGGTTCATCCAGGATTGAATGGAAACAGAGGCAATGAATATATGTGTGTGGTGTTAGTAAATAACAGAGCTGAAGGAAAACACCAGGTTCTGTGCTGTGTTTAAGACATGGCACTGGAAATGGCAAAATAGTCCCTGCAGGTGGCAACATTGTTCCCTCGAAGAGCGAAGGGAACTTCCAAAGACTAGGTTGATTGATTTAGAGATAGTAGGAGCTGCAGATGCTGGAGGATCTGAGATAACAAGGTGTACAGCTGAATGAACACAGCAGGCCAAGCAGCATCAGAGGAGCAGGAAGGCTGACGTTTCGGGCCTAGACCCTTTTCTGAAGAAGGGTCT